CTCCCCTGCTCTGCACCCCGGTGGCGCCGCGCCAGTCCCCGGCCCCGGCCCCGGCCCCGACGCGCACGGACTCGGGCTCAGGTCATCGCACCGCTTTACTCTGCCCGCGCCGAGTTGGCGATCGCACGCAGCGCCTCCTCCGTGGAGCGGATCTGGCCCAGCTGGATCTCGACCTCCACGGTCAGCGGCTCAGGCTGGTAGTCGCTTTCGAAGACCGGCGCTACTGATTTCGTCCTTTCTGAGAAAATAAACGCACGGCGAATGAGTCCGCAGCGCCGCGAGGTCTGCGGGCCCCGGCTGCCCGCTCTCTGCCCGCCCCCACCGACCCGCGCGAGTGGACGCTCGGATTGGACGGCCTCGCGGAGCAGGCTCGCGCGCACTCGAGCGGGCGTTATGCAGCGCCGCTGTCTGCGTGACTCCACAGGGCGGCGACCTCTGTCCCCAAGACCACTTGTACTTAGAGGAATTGGGGGGGCGTTCAGTCCGGGATACCAGATACATAGTAAAGAATAAAGTAATTCTGGCACTTCAGGGAAAACAACCGAGTGAAAGCATTTTGTTAAATTTGTAACATTTGAACTTTCGAGTAGAAATTAGACTTTTGGAAACCTATCAGCCGTCACGCACGCAATATGCAGTCTTTTCCAGTGGTACCGGTAGTGGTGTCAAATAATGTGACTTGGGGATCTTTAAAGAAACACGTCAACGGCTGGGAGATCTGCCTAACTCGGCCTACTAGTATTTTTTTTAAAAGTTATACAGGGTTTCAAGACAAAATAATACCAATTAACAGTGGTTGTTATATTACATATTGCTATCCTCAACTAGTTGCTCAGATTACCAGATGTAAGAATGGAAAATTGTTCAAACCATTAAAGAGAATAAGAAAATATTTGATAAAACATTAGTGATAATACAGGGTTTCACTAGACAAGATGGTAGGAATTCACCATGGTAGTTCCATTGCATATTGTTACCTTCAGATCAGTTGCTCAGGTTACCAGATATAACCATGCACTAACTAGTATTTTACAATGCACACGGTATTGTACTCATGTTACAAATTACACATGGTCCGGGCATAGTGGCGCACGCCTGTAATCCCAGCACTCAGGAGACTGAGGCAGGAGGATCCCTGCAAGTTCAAGACCAGCCTGGGCTACAAAGTGAGCTCAAGGCCAGCCTGAACTGCATAGCAAGATCCTATCTCAAAAAGACAAAAAAAAAAATTACACATGGGTAAAATATCCAATCAGAATGCACAATACACCAATGAGCTTTAGTGACAAATGGACTGTGAAAAAAATCATCAATATAGAGTCACACTGTAGCATAAGGAACCAGAGCTTACCAAATGTGTCCTGGTACCAAGGAAGGCTCCACAACCACATCTGGAGAATGAGCCCAGGACCCTCACACTGAGCTACAGCTCCACTCCCATTTTTAATTTTGAGACAAGGGGGTGGGGATTTAGCTCAGTGGCACAGCACCTTCCTGGCAAGCGCAAGGTCGTGAGTTTGATTCCCGGGTATCGCAATAATAATAATAATAATAATTTTGAGATGAGGTCATAGCTAAATTGTCCAGGCTAGGCTCAAAGTTTCCATCCTCCTGCCTCAGCCTCCCAGAGTGCTGAGATCACAGGCATGCCCACCCTGCCCAGCAGAATATCTGTAATTCTTTGAAAACCTACTTAAATATTCCTCTCATTTGTAATTATGTGAGGACAGTGTGAGGCTGGATTTTCTCCATGCACTTCACAGCAACCTCTCACAAGAACTTCACCATGGAAGGCTGGCCTTGAATTTGAGGTGTTCCTCCTGCCTCAGCTTCCCCAGTGCTGGGATCCCAGGCATGTGCCACCACGCCTGGCTTTGTCTTACACTTTTGCAGGAGCTGCCAGATGGTCTCCAGAGGTCCCCACCTCTCCATCCAAGCCAGACAGTTCTTTTTCAAACTCAAATCTAAAACTTACCTAGTTCAGTAACTTCCAGCAGGCACTGAAAGAATAACTCGAGCAGCAGGGTCTGCCAGAAGAGGGCTGGAGCCGGAAGGACCGTAGCGCCCCAGCTCTGAGCCTGCGCCCCACCTTATCCTGGCACCTACCCAGAATGCCTCACTGCTGTGTTCTAGGGCCGCAGGGAGGCTACGGTTCCGTGCTCAGGGTGGACGGGTCTCCCCCGGCAGGCAGATGTGGTCTCAGTGCCGGGCCCCGGGGCTACAGATCAGGGCGGCCCCACACCCACCGGGCCCCCCCCCCCCCCCCCCCCGCCACTGTGGCTCTTACCCTTCTTGGCTCCTTTCTTAATCTTCTTTGAGTCCTTCGAGGGAGAGAACCACAAAACGAGATGCCCACTGAGGGCAGGCCTCAGGGCAGGTGCGGCCCAGGCTGCCCTGGGACTCCTGCCCCTCCCGGGGGGCTCTGTTTAGGGGTCCCCTGGGGAGCAGCTCCCAACATGGGCCGCGCCGAGGTGGTGGCTGCGTCCCCTCTGGCCCCCAGCCCTGGGCCAGGCCCCGCCCCGCCCACCCAGCTCTCCGTGGGGAGCACGAGGGTGGAGGTCGGGCATGTGGCCGGGCCCACGGTACCCTGGCAAACGTCAGCCTGTCCGATTCCTGGGTGCGGACCACCCCAAAGTTGCACACAGTGGACACCACGGGCTCCCCGGCCAGCAGGGGCTCCAGGGCCACCAGGCCGCTGCCCAGCACCTGCAGCACGGGCGGGTCCTGGCGCAGCTCCTTGGGGGCATCTCTCTTCCTCTGCGATGCCTTCCGTTCCTGCAGGGAGGCGGGGAGGGTGGGCAGGGCACCGTGCCGGGCGCACGTCCCCTTCGGCAGGCCCGTGTCCCAGCCTGCCCCGCCTGACCTTGGAGGGCTCCTCTGCTTTCCCTTTCTGGTCCTTTCTGTCCTTGTCCTTCTTGTCCTTGTCCTTCTTCTTGTCATTTGCCCCTTTTCCTTTCTTGGCTGCCAGGGGACTGTCAGTAGGCGGGGTCACCACCGGCCAGGAGAGGGTCTGGGGGCGGGAGGCGGCCTTGCGTGAACAGAGGCGACAGCGGCCAGCCGGGGTCGCGCTGCCCCTGTGCCCACCTTCTCCTCCACGACGGTCACCGTGGTCCCCGCCAGCAGGAAGGCCTTGAGGGGCCCCAGGTCCTTGACACCGTGCCGCGCCTCGTAGCTGCAGGCGATGATGTCGGCCCAGGGCTTGTGCTCCGTGCTGAAGAGGGCCGTCCTGCGGGGCAGCGGACGCGGCGCTGTTCCTGGGGCTGCGGCGGGGAGCCCAGGCGGACGAGGCAGGGAGGGGACTTCGAGGCAAGCGCCCGACCGCGGAGCTACATCCCCAGCCCCCCGGGAGGGGACTTCTAAGAAGACTGCATGTGACAAACAGCGCCAGACTGGGTGCCCGACGCTTCCAGAGAAGGCAGAATAGGTACAAAGGGTCACTTCCTTCGGGGACAGGGCCGTGCGAGACGACCGAGGGAACCCACCAAAACCTCGGCAAAGGGTTAAAAAAGATCAACACGGCAGTACTTAAAAAGTAATGTCCCAAACTCCCGCAGTCCTTACCAACTGCGCTACCCGGGACACGAGCTGTCCTTTAAAGGGCACCAGGTGAGGGACCTCACGAGGGGGAAACAAGAACCCCCCGGAACACGCGCGAAAGAGGGTGACACGCGCAGCCACGGCGGACACGGCCCGCGGGCCCATTGCCTCGGCTGCGTGGACAGCGGCCCTGTCAGCCCCGGAAAGGACGGAATCCCAACGCCACAGCCAGGGCAGATCTGAGGACAACTGCGCTCAGGGCAGTACGCCTCCGGCAAGGGCACAAGGACCTGACCCAGGAAAGAAGGGCAGAACTCGAACCCGAACCCAGGGCCTGCGCCTGGCTAAGGAGAGTCGCTCCAGCGGGCTCGGGAGTGGCTCAGCGGCAGGACAGCAGGGCCGGCAGGGCGGCCTGGGCTTGCTGAGACCCGGGGACCCCAGGAAGGGCTCCCACCAGCCGCCTCCTACCCCAGGGCGGGGCACAGCCGCGGATCCATGCGCGGCCGCAGCTTGGCCAGCTCCTCCCCCGAGTCAGTGGACGGCGGCTTCGGGGGCGAGTGGCCCGAGCGGCCCGAGCGGCCCGAGCGGCCCGAAATGACTGAGGACTCGGACTCCGCCTGCTCCGTGGTGTCCACTGACTCCAGGGACCCCTCGGCCATGTCCTCCTCGGTGCCCTCCTCGGTGCCCTCCTCGGGGACCTCCTCAGGGACCTCCTCGGGGACCTCCTCCTCCAGCAGCTCCGTGTTGGACAGGGGCTTCACGATCTGCCCCAGACGAGAAACAGCAGCTGTGGCCCCACCGCGGGGCCCACGCAGACACACACACCAGGGGCTCAGGGGCGTTTTGGTGGCGTGCTGGGGATGGGACCAAGGCCTGGTACAAGCTGCGCATGCAAGGGACCATGGAGCTGTACCCCAGCCCTGCTTGGAAACTGGGGATAGAAATAAAATTTTAAAAAAAATTTTGAGACAAGGTCTTGCTATGCAGTTCAGCCTGGCCTTGGAATATGTAGCCCAGGCTGATCTCGAACTTGCACCAATCCTCCTGCCTCAGCCTCCCAAAGTATATGTGCTACCATATACTTTAAGGATGGTCCTGGGGAAAAAGAAAAAAAAAGGATGGTCCTGGGGCTCAGGCGTGGTGGGCACACCTGTAATCCCTGCACTTGGAAGGCTGAGGCTGGAGGATCCAACTTTGAACCCAGCCTAAGCAAGTTAATAACTTGGCAAGACCCCACCTCAAAATTAAAAATTCTAAAAGGGCTAGGGATGTGGCTTGGCTTAGTTCAGTCCCCAGCACTGCAGGACGCCGAGGTCCTGGGCCCCAAGGGGCTGCTCCTGAGTCCCCGGCTCTGCCGTGCGCACCTCGGCCAGGACCTCGCTGTACTCCTTGGCCTCAGCCTCCTCCTCTTCCAAGAAGTCGTAGGTCACGTAGTAGCTGTAAGTGACAAAGGGGCCCTCGGGCCCGGGCTCCGGGTCCAAGACAGAGGAGTCCACGACCCCCCGGATGTTCCCGATGGTCACCATCAGCTGCGCCTCCTGCGCCAAGAGCTCTGTGGAGCAAGGGCGGAGCGAGGGGCTGGCGGGAGCTGCTGTCCGGACCCTGCGGCCCCCTCGGCCGAGCTCAAGGAGAAGCCCCGGGCCCCGCCCCGGACGCAAGGCTGGGGATCCCCGGGCGGCGCCCCGGGACCCTGGGAGGCTCGGCTGCGCTTTGCGCCGCGGGCCACAAGGGGGGGACCTCAGGCCGCCGCGGGAGCAGAGAGCCGGGAGGAGCCCTCCCCTAACCCCAGTCCCTAACCCCGGCCGCACCCACCGCCCTGCTGGGCCAGCCCGCGGAACTGGTGCCTCTCGTGCGGCGACACGGTGACGTCGTCCAGCACGCACAGCCGGGCCAGGCTGTCCACGGTGAAGCCGCGGTAGTGCGGCAGCAGCGCCAGCGGGTTCCCCTGTAGCACCAGCAGCCGCAGGCGGCCGAGCGAGCGCAGCGCGGTCACCATGGCCTGCAGGCCGGTCAGGTCGTTGAAGCCCAGGTCCAGGGAGACGAGGTTGGGCCTGGAGGGGAGGCGGGGTGGAGGCGCTGCCCACCTTGCCCGCCACATCTCCCGCCGATCACTGTGCCCACACAGCCTGCCTGAGCCCCGCCCTCCTCCCTCCCCTTGGCCAGTCAATGGGAGGTCCTGGGCTCAGCAGGAGCCCGGACCCAGCCTCAGCCCGCCTTAGAGAACTGGGAAGCAGGTGGCGGGGCACATCTATGACCCCAGGCTTGGGAGGCTGAGGCAGGAGGATTTCGAGTTCTAGTTCCTCCTAGGCAACTTAGTGAGACTTTGTCTCACAATTTAAAAGGGCTGGAGGTGCAGCTCAGTGCAAAGGCCCTGGATTCCATCCCCAGGGCTACAGAGGGGGAGGGGCACTAGGAAACTGCAAAATCAATGCCCAAGAAATATGTCCTCCTTTTAATTCCAGAACAGCCAAAGTCAGAAGTTTCATATACACATTTCTAAAACATCCACATTAAGCACCAGATTGTGGTATGATTTCCAAATCAAAATCCAGAATACGGCCAGGCACCGTGGCTCATACCTGTAATCCCAGCACTCTGGGAGGCTGAGGCAGGAGGATGTCAAGTATAAGCTCAGCTTGGGCAACTTGCAATTTAGCCAGACCCTGCATCAAATTTTTTTTAAAAACTTCAAAACAAAAACAACCCCTGCCCTGAAGCAGAATACATGGCCCTCTGTCAACGGCAAGAGCCTGTGGGTCTTCCACAGCAAACCAGCACCCTCTAAGACAGAGCTCTTCAACCAGGGGTGACATGGTACCTTGGGTATTGTCTAGAGACATATTTTTTGGTGAAAAGGCACTCACTATATAGCACAGGGTGGCCTTGAACTCACTATGGAGCCCAGGCTGGCTGCGAACTCACAGGGATCCTCCTGCCTCAGCCTCCCGAGTGCTGGGATTACAGGCATGTGCTGCCACACCTGACTCAGTGGGGTTTTGGTTGGAGTCAGAATTAAAGCGTCCTTAGCAGCCAATAGGACATTACAGGAAGAGCCAATGCTCCACCCACCCTCCCCGCCCTCCTTACCAGTGGCTGGCGGTGACGTAGAGGCTCTCAGAGGGGCCCCGCAGCTGGTTTTGGCCCAGACCCAGGTGGCGCAGGCCCGGCGGCGGGTGCGCGCACAGACACTCCATGCTGGTCAGCTCGTTACCGTACAGCTCCAGCACCTGCGACGACAGCAGCCGCCGTGGCTGGACGCTGGTCCTGCCCTGTCCTGAGCTCCTGCTTCCACCAGGAAACTCCGGAGAGGGACTGCGACCCGTTCCTGTTCTGCGCTCCTGCACCTGACTGCTGCCTGCCTGTCTGTCTGTCTCTTTCTTTGAGATACTCAGGATTGAACCCAGAGCCTGCACCCTGAATTGCATCCCCTACCCTTTTATTTTTTATTTTGAGACACTAAGTTGCTAAATTGCCCAAGCTGGGCTCAAGTTTTCGATCCTCTTGCCTCAGCCTCCCAGAGTGCTGGGATGACAGGTATGCACCACCACACCCAGCCTGGACTCCCTCCTCCCCCCACCCCCACCCCCCCGTACTGGGAATCAAACTCACGACCTTGCGCTTGCCAGACAGGCGCTGTGCCACTGAGCTAAACCCCGAGCCCCCTGAACCCCCTTTTTAAACGCAGGAAGCAGAGTGGAGGTGACTGCAATGTGTGGAAGGGAGGTGACAGGGAGAAGGCGACAGAGCCCCACCGGGGTGCCCATGCGCATCACCCACTCTGAGTTTAACGCACACTGGGCCACTGGGGTGCTGCGGGGCCTGGGCTCTGATCTCTTGTGTGCGTGGTGAAGCATCTGGAAGAGGAATCTGCCAGTCTGGCCACTGTTTAGCACACAATTCAGTGGCATTCTTCACCTGCCTGGCATTGAGCCACCATCCTCGCCATCCATTTCCAAAATTTTTCACTGGTTCACACAGAAACTCCGACATCCCAAGCAGTAACCTGCCCTGCCCCTCCCCAGGTCCTTCCACTAAGGGGAATCACACAAGATTCGTCCCTGTCTCTTTGGTTCTTGTCACTGTACGTGAGGGCTTCTGGGTCCACCCACGTTGTAGCAATGATCAGACTGCCCTTTTCACGGGTAAGTAGTGTTCCACTCCGGGTCAACCTTATCAGGTTACAGACACGTGGGCCCCTCGCACCTTTGTGCTGCTGTGAACCCTGGTGCACAAGGGCCGGCCCTGTCCTTGCCTCGCTCTTTAAGGTATGTGCCCGGCAGCCTGAGGCCATGGGGACCGTCCCGCTTTTGGGGAACACAGCCTGTATTTCTAAAGCCCCGGTTGGGGCTCAGCACCCAGCCGCCCCGGCCAGCCACAGGGGCAGGTTAGGGGCGGGGCCTGGGGGGCCTGGTACCTTGAGCGTGGGGGGCAGGTTGGCAGCTTCCACTTCCTTGATGCGGTTCGCGCTCAGGACCAGCTCCTCCAGCCTCAGGAACTTGAGGAGGTCTTTGTCCACTTGGCTCACCTGTGGGGCGGAGCCCGGGGCTGGGGCATCCACGGGGCCTTCACCCCCACACTGCGGCATGCCCCGACCCCCACACAAGGGGTCCTGTGGCCACCAGGCCAGCATCCTGTGTCCCTCCTTAGACCATGGCCTTTTCAGGAGGGCGAGAGCGCCGTCTTCTATGCTGTCTACACCTGGCACCAAAGCCAGTTCGGGTGTTTTGTTTTGTTTTGTTTTGCTGAAACAGGGTCTCACTATGTACCCCCGGCTGGCCTCAAACTCATGGTGATCCTCCCGCCTCAGCCTCCGGAGAGGCTCAGTCCAGGTCTGTGGGAATCACTCCGGCTTACACAGAGCAGGGTCAGACCAGGAGCTCGAGTGCTGACCCACCAATCCCAAGGTCCTGAGCCACAGGCCACGTGGCTGGGTCCCTCTGAGCTACAGTGAGCGGCGCGCTGTCCTTGGCTCCCCTAAACTCTCAGCGCGCACACTTGGAAAGTCCCAGGCAAGCCAGGCAGGGACAATGAAACAGAGGCTCTGGAAAACTGAGACAAGTTTCCACTCGACTTGGGCTCTGCTACTGAGCAAGCAAAGGAGGCCTTCTAGGAACGGAAATGAGCGACGCTGGCGCTGTGACACCCGCCCCACTATCCACGCACCTTGTATCAAGTCAAAACCATCGCAGCCTTTCCAAAGGTCTTTTCTCTTCCCTCCCTTGCCTTTCCTTGGTGCTTTTGCAGTACTGGGGACTGAACCCAGGGCCTGCACACTGCTTTTATTATCCCCAGCCTGCTTTTATTTTTTACTTTTGAGACAGGGACTTGCTAGGTCACAAGCTGCCCCGGCTAGGATTTAGTGAGAGATCACCCCGCCGGCGTCCGGCTCGGTGAGGAAGGGCGCGAGGAGGAGCTCCGCGCAGGCTGCGGCTGAGCAGCCCCGGCTTACTGCGGGCGCCGGGAGCTTGCACAGGGAGCGGCAGGGCTGGCCAGGGTCAGTCCTGCGGGGACCCCGCCGGCCCCCTCACGCGCACCCTCACCTGCTTGTCCACCACCCGCAGGGACCGGAAGTAGGCGTAGAAGAAGGTGTCTCTGATCATCGTGGGGCTCCGGATGGCCAGCTCTCGGAGAAACCGGTCCTCCGCGCTGGAGTCCTCGGGCAGGGCCCAGGGCGACTGCGGGCCGCGCACCAGGCCCAGCAGGGCCTCCACCGGCTCCTCCTCGGCGCCCGGGGCCTTCTCCTCCCCAGGCCCCAGCTCCTTCCAGGCCCGCGGCTTCGGAGGAAGGAAGCGGGATCTATTCTGCAGGGCGGAGGTGGGGAGCGAGTGGGTCTCCCCACCCTCAGGGACGCCGCGCGCTCAGGGGCAGGGCCCGCCACGTCGGGCAGCTGGGGGTGGCACCGCGGGGCAAGAGCGGGCAGCGGCCTGGCTCCGGGAAGGAGGAGCGGAGGCGGCTCACAGGCCGGTCCCTGCCCTCGGGGCTTTGCTCCAGAGCCGGGAACCTCCGGCGGGCAAAGGCAGAGCCCTGCTGCGCTACACACGAAATCCAGGAGAACCGCGCACGTCCAGCCAGCAGGCTCTGAAGGCAGGCGGGGGCACCCTCCCGCACGGACGCTGCCCGAAGGAGCGCGGCCAGGCCGTGAGCGGGACTCGGCGCAGCGGGCGCGCCGCCCCAGAACGTGCGCTCTGCCCCTTCCTCCGCGGAGGCTCTGCCGTTTGTTTTGGGGTTTGGGGCGCTGCTGCGGCTCACACCCGGGGCCACAGGCCCGCAGGCAAGCGCTCGCCACTGAGCTGCGCCTCCAGCACCGGCCCGGGATAGGGGCGGTGCTCGGCCCACATCTGCGCACCGAGCAAGTCTCGGGCTCCTGGCCGCCTGTGCCCTGGGGTCCTCTAAGGACGGGACGCGGGTCTCCCTGTACCCTGAGCCAGGCCACCACTCACCGGGAGGCTCCGGGCACTCGCGGGGCAGCCCTGTGGGGTTTTTTGTTTTGTTTTTTGGTCTTTTTGAGACAGGGTCTCGCTATGTGGTTCAGGCTGGCCTTGAGCTCACTTTGTTGCCCAGGCTGGTCTCGAACTCGCAAGGATCCTCCTGCCTCAGCCTCCCGGGTGCTGGGATTACAGGCGTGCGCCACCACGCCCGGCGGCCCTGAGTTTAAACACCTGGCGCCTTGTCCCCGCCCTGGGCACCTAGCTGATGACACCTCTCTCACACCCTGCGCGGGGCCTGTCTGCAGGAGGGGTGCGCCGACAGGTGAGGGCCATCCTAAGGAGGGCGGCAAAACCAGAATCTCCTTCCCGGAGCGGCAGCTTGGCCTCCGGCTGTGCGGTGCGCTCTTCCCGGCCGCCTCGCACCTCCTCCAGGGCGGCTCGGGCAGGAGAGGGTTAGGAGGGTCCGCAGGGTTGGGAAGGCCGGGGGCGCAGGCGTTAGGAAGGTGTGGGGGAGCGGAAGGCCCTGCCCCGCCGCCGAGCCCTCGGCTCGGGCTGTGAAAACCGCCCAGGCCCAAGCTCTGCTCCCGAAGGCGCCCGCGGCCCGGGAGCGGGGCGTCGCCGCACGCCAGGCCCCGCCCC